AAGATATGCTGCTATGTATGATATGCTGCTATGTAAGATATGCTGCTATGTAGATATGCTGCTATGTATGATATGCTGCTATGTATGATATGCTTGCTATGTATGATATGCTGCTATGTATGATATGCTGCTATGTATGATATGCTGCTATGTATGATATGCTGCTATGTATGATATGCTGCTATGTAAGATATGCTGCTATGTATGATATGCTGCTATGTATGATATGCTGCTATGTATGATTGTGTATGTAAGATATGCTGCTATTATGATATGTGTATGTAATGATATAGTGCATATGTAAGATATGCTGCTATGTATGATATGCTCTATGAATGATATCTGCTATGTATGATATCTGCTATGTATGATATGCTTTATGATAATATTAGACATGCTATGTATGATATGCTGCTATGTTATGATATGCTGCTATGTATGATATGTGCTATGTATATCTATATACTGTGCTATGTATATATCGCATGTATTATCTGCTAGTAATATATGCTGTATGTAATATGTCTATGTCAAATGATTATCTCTATGTATAGAAATGCAACATATTAAGATATCATGCTATTTTGAATTACATGCTGCATGTATGATATGACCAATATGTAAGATATACTGCATCTCATATATAGCTTATGTATCACTATTAGCTATTAAAATGGATTATGTATCTCTATGTATGATTCATATGTTGAATCTCACTATAGTATTATATATCCTGTATATGATATTTTAATTGTTATCATATGATATGTGCTTTAAAAGTAACAAACTGAATATTTGTAAATGAAGATACAATCGCATCACAATATCTTTATTGTGTCAAATCTTAATGAGATGCTTTAAGTGGATTCATCTATGTAATACTTATGTGACCAATCCTATATAAGTACTTTAATGGATTCCATCCTATATGATATGTTATTATAATGGACCAATTCTATTAGTATTATATGTCTTATGATAAATACTTAGATATGTATCTATCAATTAGAGATACAATCTAAGGCTATATATGCTCAATCTATATAAGTGCTTATAAGTGGATCCAATCTATTAAGTCTTATAAGTGGATCCATCCTATATAAGTACTCATAAGTGGATCCAATCCTATATAAGTACTTATAAGTGGATCCAATCCTATATAAGTACTTATAAGTGGATCCAATCCTATATAAGTACTTATAAGTGGATCCAATCTAATATAAGTGCTTATAAGTGAACATATTTGAGTGCTTACACATCTGATCGTACACGTGTGCATATAGTTATGTGTACATGTGCACAAATGTATCTACACTGGTGAGTATACATATATATATACATATATGGAGACATAGTACATTTCTATATATATCTATGTATGTATATATGTATGCATACACGTCTGAACACATGTATATGTACGCCCAACCACGCGGACATGCAGGTTTAAACGTGTACATACACGTCTCAACATGTGCAAATACACTTCTAAAAAGTGCACACACACACGTAGTATACAGTGCACACACACGTAGTATACAGTGCACACACACGTAGTATACAGTGCACACACACGTAGTATACAGTGCACACACACGTAGTATACAGTGCACACACACGTAGTATACAGTGCACACACACGTGTTATACAGTGTACACACACGTGTATACAGTGCACACACACGTAGTATACAGTGCACACACACGTAGTATACAGTGCACACACACGTAGTATACAGTGCACACACACGTAGTATACAGTGCACACACACGTAGTATACAGTGCACACACACGTAGTGTACAGTGCACACACACGTAGTATACAGTGCACACACACGTAGTATACAGTGCACACACACGTAGTATACAGTGCACACACACGTAGTATACAGTGCACACACACGTAGTATACAGTGCACACACACGTAGTATACAGTGCACACACACGTAGTATACAGTGCACACACACGTAGTGTACAGTGCACACACACGTAGTATACAGTGCACATACCCAAGGACGGAGGATAATATAAATTCATAATTAATCAAAGTATATAGGGTGGTCACCTGAGATAATTTTATAATGGCCGAAAATTTCATTAAAAAAATCACATTGATTCAAAATACCAAAAAAAAGGAGGGGGTGAAGGGAGGGAAAAATTATATTCCCTTTTTGCCCTCAATGCATCAGTGGGCGGAGCTTAATGACATCACGGACGCACTCAAGAGTTTAGATTGGTGCCTTTGGAATGGCAGCCTCTGATTGGCTGCCCATGTAAACAGAGGCAAGGTTGGCCATGACTTAGATTGCTAGAATGACCACACACTCCTTAACTATCTAACAGCCTAGTTTATCTTGAGTGTTGATATAATCACAATATGATATGTTAAGACTTATCCCATACGCAAGAAATAACATATATGCAAATGAAGAACAAACTAAGCTGCATTGTCATATATATATATATATGCTTAACAATTCGCAAACAGGTGAAATTACAGACATTGTCTCTACGTCCTCAGCAGGACTCGAACTTGCAAACTCTATATCAGAGTCCACAGTACTTTACCACTGAGCCAGACTCCAGATAAGTATGGGCGCCTAGCCGGAGCTAGACGATGTTTCCCCACACCCCCGGGGCACCAGGCTTGTTTCCCCATACCCCTGGGGCACCAGGCTTGTTTCCCCATACCCCCGGGGCACCAGGCTTGTTTCCCCATACCCCCAGGGCACCAGGCTTGTTTCCCGATACCCCCGGGGCACCAGGCTTGTTTCCCCATACCCCCGGGGCACCAGGCTTGTTTCCCCATACCCCCGGGGCACCAGGCTTGTTTCCCCATACCCCCAGGGCACCAGGCTTGTTTCCCCATACCCCGGGGCACCAGGCTTGTTTCCCCATACCCCGGGGCACCAGGCTTGTTTCCCCATACCCCCGGGGCACCAGGCTTGTTTCCCATACCCCCGGAGCACCAGGCTTGTTTCCCCATACCCCAGAGCACCAGGCTTGTTTCCCCATACCCCAGAGCACCAGGTTTGTTTTAAAACAAGCCTGGTGCCCCGGGGGTATGGGGAAACATCGTCTAGCTCCGGCTAGGCGCCCATACTTATCTGGAGTCTGGCTCAGTGGTAAAGTACTGTGGACTCTGATACAGAGTTTGCAAGTTCGAGTCCTGCTGAGGACGTAGAGACAATGTCTGTAAATAATTTCGCCTGTTTGCGAATTGTTAAGTATATATATATATATATCTTCTCTGATTGCTGTCTTGAATTTTTGACCTCTACCAATTATATATTTCTTAAAAAAAATCAAAGCCTGAGATTACAGGAATCATCTTCAAACATCAGCATGATATGAATTAATTTTCGACTTTCTAACCCATAATACAACTTAGTTAAGTTCAGAACACAAATAAAACTTACGAAGAACAGCAAGAAAATAACATATTAAAATAAGTGGACGTGATATTAAAAGGTGAAATAAAAAAAAAAATTCACAGGGTAATAAAACCCTTTGTTACATCATTTCTGGGAAAAAAACATATAAATAAAACTCTAAATTTATATCTAAATAGATATATGCTTCTAAATCTAATATACATACGATTGCTTCAGCTACGTAAGGGAATTTAGATTTTGAAAATAGCGAAAAATAACAACAGCTGACTAAACCTTTTATTACTGTCTTACTCTCGGCAGACGGAGGATCAAGCCTCCACCACCACGTCTTGCGCTGTGACCCACATGGGTTTAGCGCTTTACATAAGTTATTAAAAAAAATCAAACCACAAATTCTCCAGTATTTTCTTGATTCTCAATTTTAACCAAGAAAAAAAAATCAGGTGTGAAAAAAATCTACTAAAATAATTTTATTAAAAATTTAAATACTAATATTATTATTTTTTATATTTACATAATTTTTTCAGCTTATTAAAAACGTTTTTTAACGTGATTTGTCTGATTTTTTTTTTTTTTTAAATCTTCAAGATTAATTATACATTTATATGTTCTATAATTTATATTATTAAAATTATTGTAGCGTTTTCGGTTTATTAAAACTTACAAAAGTTTTATTGAGATAATTATATCTGAGGAATTTATATATTTTTTTCAGTACTTATAATTTATATATTTTTTTCAGTACTTATAATTTATATATTTTTTTCAGTACTTATAATTTATATATTTTTTCAGTACTTATAATTTATATATTTTTTCAGTACTTATAATTTATATATTTTTTTCAGTACTTATAATTTATATATTTTTTTCAGTACTTATAATTTATATATTTTTTCAGTACTTATAATTTATATATTTTTTCAGTACTTATAATTTAATATTTTTTTCAGTACTATAATTATAATATTTTTCAGTACTTATAATTTTAATGATTTTCAGTACTTATAATTATATATTTCAGTATTATAATTTATATATTTTCAGATTAATAATTTATATATTTTTCAGTACTTATAATTTATATATTTTCATACTTAAATTATATATTTTCAGTACTTATAATTTCTATATTTTTCGTACTTATATTAGATATATTTCCAGTACTTATAATTTATAATTTTTCAAACGTTCATGATTCTATTTTTTCAGTAATATGATCCATCTTTGAGTGTGCTTCTCAGAAGTTAAGATCTACCTAATATTAATGATCAAGATAGTCAACTGATACATTTACCAGGTTATAATGCCATTATTGCTGATCAATCAAATTATACATCGTCTAGAGACATGGCTTGTGTGATGATCACCTTCACTGCTGTACGTCTAAGCTATTCAGCGGATGCGACGGCTGAATTCATCTCTCCATGATACTGACCGTTCGATGCTCCTTCCTCAGTGGATGCTGGACTGTCACTTGATCCCGGGAGATGCTCAGGCGGTACCAATCTCGTTCGACATCTTGTTGGTCCGGGCTATATGCGATCCGCGTTCCTCCGCGCGGCGTGAGCCGAGTCCTAGTGGGACAATCTGCCTTCGTACCTTGTCGGGAGTAAGCTTCGTGGTACCAGGTCGTCGACACTCTGTCGCCGGTGTAGGATCTCCCCGATACGGCGGGGTAGCCAGCCTTGACATGGCGGGCCTTGTAACCTGTGGTGGTAGCTTCTTTGTACCACGCTAATCGTGTAGTCTCCCGACTCGTAGCCACTACGTAAGAGCCATAACGAGAACGTAAGCTACCGCTGTAGCCACCGAGCGTAACACGTGAGCCCGTAGGAGCTACACGCCGTAGCCACCGCTAGGAGCATAAGTACCGCCGTAGCCACCGCTAGAAGCGTAACTACCGCCGTAGCTAACGCCAGGAGCGTAGCTACTGCTGTAGCCCCCACCAGGGACATAGGTACCGCTGTAGCCGCTACCGTAACTCCCCCCACCTGCGCTATAGGTATTTCCGCTGTAGGCGCTGCCGTATCTTCCGCCGTCGCCGCCGCCGCCGCCGCCGCCGCCGCCGGTGTCGTATCCCCCACCGCCACCGTAACCACTGCCATAACCGGTGGTTCCGTAGCTGCCTCCGTAACCAGTGAGGTCCTGACTGTAGCCGTCTGCCACTCCGCCGTATGTGGGCCGACGCTGACTGTAGCTGCCTAGAGATGGATCCTCGCCGACATACCTACTCTTCATAGACCTGTCACCATACGAGTCTTCACGATTCTGATCCCGACCGTAAGTGTCCTGTGACCCCCTTACGCTAGGGTTTCCTGAAGTCCTACCGTAAGAGTCCTGCATATCCCTAACGTAAGGCTCCAGTGATGTTCTTCCATAGGCATCCTGTGACATCCTGTTGTATTGATCCTCTGGTCTTCTGTATGGATCTTGCGGAGTTCTGTCAAAGCGATCATCAGGAGTGTGTCTGTATGGACTCTCTTGTGAGGCCGGGCCATAGGAGTCTCGAGCGAGGGAAGTCCTCAGGTCATCTTGGTCTGGCCAGTTCCTAGGACCCTGTGACTGAGGCGGTGCCTTGCCACCCTCCTGTAACTGCCTTCCACGAGAGGTCTTCGATACCCGACTTCGAGTCTCCAGAGGTGGTTCGATCCTTTCTTCAGAAGCTTCAGACTGGTCGTGGACTGCCCGAGTCTCTCTGGCCTTCCTCTCCATGTAGCGCTGAAGAGCTCCTCCAGGCCGACCTGGTGGCAGCGACTCCAGAGGGTCCTGTACTTCGTTAACTTCCTGTGCTGCAGGCCGCGCGGCTTTCCGTCTGGGAGGCGGAGTGGAGACCAACTGGTCTTCTTTGGACATTGGTTTATTGGAAACGTAGGAGGTCCGAGGGATATATGAGCTATCGTGGGTCATTAAGTTAATATCAGGACCTAAATAAGTGCTATCACCTCCCCGGGATTCGTCTGCTGTGCCATCTTCAACGGGGACCACAGAGTACTCATCAGGAAGAGATGGTGCTTCCCTGCTGTTGGTCAAAGACCGGGGTAAGTGGTCTCTGGTATCTGAGACGTTTCTGTGTTTACCCGCGTCAGCACAAGCTAAAAGTTTCGTCGGGGGCAGCATCGCGCGTTCCGAAGTCGTGTATCCTTCTTCATCCACCAATTCTGGTTCTTGTTCTTCATCCTCGCCCTTAAAGTCAGGGAGTCCGGACACAAAGTCTCTCGTTTTCCCAACGTGCCTCGCCCAGGCACTGTTCGGAGGGTGGTAACCAAACTCTCGCCTCGTGGAAAAATTAGTATACTTATCCAGGAGTTTAGCAACAGTATCGGAGCGACAAAGAGGTGCAGGATCGGTGACTTCGTCCAGCACTACTGGATTGCAAGGCATCAAGGCACTGTAAGATGTACCGTAGTCATCCAGTTCCTCCCGCGTAGGTCGACGATAAATGAAGTTGACAGCATCAAATCCAGACACATCATTGTGGCCGCGAGACGCCCGTCGCTGCATATTGGAAGAACCATCCATGTCATCGAAGTCACTAAGAGTTTGAGATCCGCGCCTCTGGTAGTCCCCGTAACCGTTGAGAGCCTTGCGCTGTGAGGTGAGAGATGCAGAATCCAGATCATTCCAGACGAGGGAGCCGGCCCTGGAGGAGCGGCGGTAGGGAAGTACATCGTCCAGGTCTCCATTGATGCCGCCGTCGGTGTAGGAGAGTCTGGTGGGTCCCGAAGAAGGCAGGAGGGAGGTGTAGAGGAGATCGTGAACGGCAGATGAGCGCCTCTTCCCCAGCATCACCATGCTGTACTGCTCGCCTGACATGGCCCTCTGTCGACACCAAACACAGTCATCTCCAGGGGTTATCACAGGCCCGTCTTAGCGATGGTGACCCTCTCAGGTCAGCCTCGAGGGGTCATCACAACGCATCTCAGCGATGGTGGCTCAGGGCAGCCTTAAGGAGTTTCCACAGCGAGTCAAAGCGATGATGGCTTCCTGAAGCTTAACCTTAAAGGATCCTCACAGTGATGGGGAATCCCTCAAGGTCAGCCTTAAGGGGTCACCACAGTCCATCTCAGCGATGGTGCCCTCCCAAGGTCAGCCCATTCTGCTCAGGTCATCCCGACCTGCTCAGGTCAGCCCATACACTAGGCAAAATATACAGAAGGCAAGAGAGAGGTAAAAGAGGAGGATGAGGGTTGGGATAGATGCGTGTGGGTGGGATAGGAGGTTGGAGGCTGCCACGCCAACCAGCTCTGACACGACCTTAGCCACGCCAGCAGTCACCACCCCAGCTGAGGGATCTACACGCTGTAAAGACCACCCTTCATGTAAAGACCATCTTTCTGCCACATAAACACACACACACACGCACACACACACACACACACACACACACACACACACACACACACACACACACACACACACACACACACACACACACACATGTACACATTTACTAACACCTGTAAATGAACTACAACATAACTGTGGTGATGGAAGTCTGTGTTTTACTCTATGGAGAGAAAACTGAAACATGATCAACATGAACAACTAAAATATAATGAACACTTGTCAATGTTCAATAATAACCTCATGAAGACAGAAAACTCAGAAGATTAACTGATTTGTGTATATCGACCCTTTTCTGGGGTCCTCTTCAGCAGATACACAAGCTGCTGAAAAGGACGCCAGAAGGGGGTCGAAATATACAGATCAATTAATCTCCTGAGTTACTGTCTACTTGTGGGTTATTACTGAGCATGATCAACAATGCTCACAACAATACGACTCAAAATAACAATAGTACTATATATTTCAGCCTCCTGATGAGACCCTCTTCAGAATATATAAAAGGCATGTATATTATATTTATTGAAAACTATAACCAATCATACATAAAACCAACAGGCAGAGATTTAATCACTAGAGCAAGTGAACAAGACGTGTGTTAGACTGGTACGAGACAGTGTTCAGTGTTCTACCATATGGAGGAATTACAGTAACATTAACTGGGCTGTTGTTTCCCTCGTACATTGAATAAACTGTGAAAATTAACAACCCTAAAGTCAACTATGACTGCATTACAGCACAGCACCATTTCAACCTTCCACAAGGCCAGTGGAAACCTGACGCTATTCCTATCCTTGATCTGAGGTCACTTGATCACTGCTTAGTTTTCTGAAGAGAGATTCAATGTGAAGTCGAAATATATAATACTTATATTTTGAGTTTTACTGTAGACAAGTGAGTTCGTTTGTACCAATATTGTTTATTACAGGTGTGTGTGTGTGTGTGTGTGTGTGTGTGTGTGTGTGTGTGTGTGTGTGTGTGTGTGTGTGTGTGTGATGTATGTACATCTTGATCACAACATACCCAGATTGTGTGAGTGTATATGATGAAAACGCTACGTGAAGGGGAATCTAAATCTTTGACTAGCATGTAAACAGAGTTCTGAGCAGCCTCGCAGCCCGCAAACACCAAAGCAGGTTGTTAAGTTGTTTGAGTATACAAAGCTTCAAAACAAGAGCCAGGCACGACACATTTATCTATGCAAATCAAGCCAGGTCAATCACCCACTCAGAGGTCGAGAATTAAGGTCAGGAAAGGTCAGAAGAGGTTAAAAGAAAGGTTCACACCGACTAAAGGCAAGAGAGTTAAAAAAAAAAAAGGAGCCCTTTACATCGAAGCTGTTAGATGACTTTGTAGTATAAAGGTTATTAATAGAAGTGAATGTTAAAGAAAACGTGAAATAGATTCCAACCTTTCCACATTTTCTGTGAAGGAAAGTCTGATAAGAGCAAGTGTAATGGTTAATTATTACGTTGCTAATTACCCTTGTTATTATCCGGCCTTAATGAAGAGAGAGTGACTGAAATATAGAAGAGGTGACTTAAACAAAAGAGAGAGTGGCCGAAGCATAAAAGCGAGGGTGAATGAAGAACAGAATTGACACAAAAAAGAGAGAGTGAGAGATGCCAGAAAACATCCAGATGTTATCTTTCCGATGGAATAACATAACCTAACTCACGACCAGAGAGTGATATCCCTTTAACATATGACATAACCTAACCTAGCTTAACCTAAACTAATTTAACCTCGCTAAAATTAATATAACGTGATATAATTCAACTGAATCCAAGCCAACCCAATCTGAAGTTAGCCTATATTCACTCTATCACATCAATGATAATACATCAATTTCAAGATTAACTTTCGTGACCGTATTACTACAGTTTGGTGACACATTCGTTACTTAATAAGCTAAGGTTACCCACCCAGCATATAGATACACATAACTGGCTTGGTTGATGAGTGTTGTGGCCCTCGAATTTTTCAGAGGAGGGTTGGCTGGCTGGCTAAGTTTAATTAACCCATAGTTACGAATTAAACCATTTAAAAACCTTTCCCACTGTAAGTTGCTTAGCAACCAATGACTGAGCGTCCAGTCCTAGTACCCATTATGTGACTGTAACCTGCTAAGACAACCATTCATAGGATGGTCATGGGACGCAGAATTTAGATATTAAACTGGTTTAGTTATCACATTTATAGTAACAGTTACGTTGTCATAACCTCTCTTAGCTCATTAGCGACCTACATTCACTCTTGTACCCGAGTACCCATGAATCTCTAATCTTCTCTGATTAATCATGAAAATGTACTACTGAGTGAGTACTTATGATTCTGTACTATTGTCAGAGTGAGTACTTATGATTCTGTACTATTGTCAGAGTGAGTACTTATGATTCTGCACTATTGTCAGAGTGAGTACTTATGATTCTGTACTATTGTCAGAGTGAGTACTTATGATTCTGTACTATTGTCAGAGTGAGTACTTATGATTCTGTACTATTGTCAGAGTGAGTACTTATGATTCTGTACTATTGTCAGAGTGAGTACTTATGATTCTGCACTATTGTCAGAGTGAGTACTTACGATTCTGTACTATTGTCAGCGTGAGTACTTATGATTCTGTACTATTGTCAGAGTGAGTACTTATGATTCTGTACTATTGTCAGAGTGAGTACTTATGATTCTGTACTATTGTCAGAGTGAGTACTTATGATTCTGTACTATTGTCAAGTGAGTACTTATGATTCTGTACTATTGTCAGAGTGAGTACTTATGATTCTGTACTATTGTCAGAGTGAGTACTTATGATTCTGTACTATTGTCAGAGTACTTATGATTCTGTACTATTGTCAGAGTGAGTACTTATGATTCTGCACTATTGTCAGAGTGAGTACTTATGATTCTGTGCTATTGTCAGAGTGAGTACTTATGATTCTGTACTATTGTCAGAGTGAGTACTTATGATTCTGTACTATTGTCAGAGTGAGTACTTATGATTCTGCACTATTGTCAGAGTACTTATGATTCTGTACTATTGTCAGAGTGAGTACTTATGATTCTGTACTATTGTCAGAGTGAGTACTTATGATTCTGTACTATTGGCAGAGTGAGTACTTATGATTCTGTACTATTGTCAGAGTACTTATGATTCTGTACTATTGTCAGAGTGAGTACTTATGATTTTGCACTATTGTCAGAGTACTTATGATTCTGTACTATTGTCAGAGTGAGTACTTATGATTCTGTACTATTGTCAGAGTGAGTACTTATGATTCTGTACTACTGCCAGAGTGAGTACTTATGATTCTGCACTATTCTCAGAGTGAGTACTTATGATTCTGTACTATTGTCAGAGTGAGTACTTATGATTCTGTACTACTGTCAGAGTGAGTACTTATGATTTTGCAGTATTGTCAGAGTACTTATTATTCTGTACTATTGCCAGTGAGTACTTATGATTCTGTACTATTGTCAGAGTGAGTACTTATGATTCTGTACTATTGTCAGAGTGAGTACTTATGATTCTGTACTATTGTCAGAGTGAGTACTTATGATTCTGTACTATTGTCAGAGTGAGTACTTATGATTCTGTACTATTGTCAGAGTGAGTACTTTTGATTCTGTACTATTCACTGAGTACTCATGAGTCTGTACTATTCCCCGAGTAAGTAATGAGTCTGTGTTCACATATCAAGTGACTTGTGTTTTGAGTTACGGGACAATTTGCACATACGCTGTGATATACACCTGTTGGTCTATACACTGTGATATACACCTGTTGGTCTATACACTGTGATATACACCTGTTGGTCTATACACACTGTGATATACACCTGTTGGTCTATACACACTATGATATACACCTGTTGGTCTATACACACTGTGATATACACCTGTTGGTCTATACACTGTGATATACACCTGTTGGTCTATATACACTGTAATATGCACCTCCTTGTGCACATACACTGAAATAAACACCTCTCAGTGAATACACACAGAGAGATGCATACACCATGTGTATACACACTGTTGCCAAACATACACAACAACAATATATTATCTGATGCCAAGGGAAAAATATAAAGGCGTAATTCCCCTATTTGGTAACAGTGTCGGATAACGCCCGCTCGTTGGTGGAATCTGACAGTTGCTTTGTGATTGGACGAGAGCGGCCCTAGGAGTTGCTCCCTTACTGGCTAAAAAGGTTTGTTTTTGCCACTGTGATTGGTCATTTCGTGGAGTTGCCAGGAATGAGGCAATTTCCTTTATCTTCGACTGGTTTTTTACACTTCAACTCGTAATAATAAAAATCATTATTGGAATTATTATTATTGTTGCTGTTATTATTATAAAAGCGTTAAACCTGTATGTGTCATTTAGCTGGTAGACAGCAGTCACCCAAGAAGGCACTACTATCTATCATGTGAGCGCGCAATGGAAGCCTGTTACACGTTATGCACTCTGGCAGGATTACCCATCTTTATCCCTCCCTCTCCGTCTCGTGAGGGCTTAAAAC